GACTGGCGGATGCCGTGCTCCGCACAGTAGGCTGCCAAGAGGTCAGAGGAGAACTCACCACCTCTGTCAGAGTGCAGACGCAGGACAGGAAAGTCCGAGTGGAACCGCTCACTGAGCTGGAGACGAGCAGCGCGGATCCAAGGGATCAAAACATCAGGGACCTCACCCTTGGTGCGCAAGGGGAAGACCGTGGTGTAGCGCGAGTAGTCGTCAACAACGATCAGGAAGTACCTCTCCTGACCCTGTCCACGGACGCGGGCTGGGCCCCACACGTCCATGTGGAGCGTCTGCAAGGGAGCAGTCGTCGGGGGAAACAAGGAGGAGTGAGGAGCGGCGCGCTGCCGCCCCTCGACACAGGGAAGGCAGGGAGGAGCAGGCGAGGGTGGGAGTGGAGGGAGAACCCTGGGAAGACCAGAGACAAGGTACCGGTTGTGCATGGCACGAAGGCGCTGCACTGACGGGTGACCAAGACGGTGGTGCCAGAGGACAGTCTCGTGTGCCAGAGAGCGACACGAGCAGGGGGCAGACAGCTGACCCGACGCAGACGCAGACGCAGCTACCTGTGGGGACTCAGTGGTCAGTGTGTACAGGTCCGACCCCGGCTGCCGAGTAAAGGTAGCCAGGTGGCGGCCCGTCCGAGCGCACGTGCAGTGTGTCACACGCTCGTAGGCAGGGGTAAACTGGTGGACACCCCCGTCCTGGAGCGCACTACCCGCCACCAAGTTCGTAGAGAACGAGGGGAGGTAGAGACCTGACAGAGTGCCCGACGGGACCGCAGGACAAGGGAGAACAGTAGAGGAGGTCGCAATGACCGGACCCCCAGAGGGGTCAGCGAGGGAGACTGCAACCGGCCGAGCAAGCTGCTCAAGGGCAGTGCGGTCACGAAAGAAACAGCGGGAAGCGCCTGAGTCCAGTGTGAAGGTGTGCAGTGCCTCAGTAGACGCAGTACCAGAGGGCGCAGACTCACGAGTACCTAGAGCAGCAGCCTCACCAGCACCTGGGGCAACAGACACACGAGCACCTAGTGCAGCAGCCTCACCAGTACCTAGAGCAGCAGACTGGATACCGGGGTCAGGCGGCACACACAGGTGACAGGCACTCTCAGCACTAGTAGGAAATGCATACATGGCAGTGAGGATAGCATCATAGTCAAGAGCATAGATATCTACCCTCTGCCTAAGCAGCTCCACCCAGTCGGGGAGCTCAGCCGCGTCGCCAAACTCTGTACGCCAGGCGTCGCTCAGACGGGTGAAGCAGCGGGACTCTGTGTGACCAAACGTCCCGCAAGGCTGACCAGTCCGAGCACCAGTGCGAATGACGTACGGGCAGCGAGCAGTACCCCGTGACCCTCCACGCTGAGCGTACCACTCACGAAGCTGCTGGGGCGTGAGGGACTCACTCGGACGTCGCGGGAGCTGCATCTGGCCACCGCCAGGAGCAGCAGTAGCAGTAGTAGTAGCAGCAGCGCGGCCACCCCTACAACCCCAACCAGCATACCACTCACGAAGCTGTTGGGGCGTGAGGGACTCACGCGGACGGCGCTGGAGCTGCATCTGGCCACGCCAGGAGCAGCAGTAGAAGTAGAAAGAGCAGTAGCAGCAGGAGCAACAGTAACAGCAATACGGGCAGGGCAGTGCTCACCAGTGGCGAGAAGAGCAGGCGTACGACGGTGGTAACGGCGAGGCCGCTACCACTGCAGGGCGAGGGCTCCGCGGCAGCTGCAGGGGCGGCTGCTCCAGGGGCCAGGGGCGGCTGCTGCAGGGGCAGCTGCTGCAGGGGCGGCTGCTGCAGGGGCGGCTGCTGCAGGGGCGGCTGCTCCAGGTGCCAGGGGCAGCTGCTCCCTTTTTTTTTTTTTTTTTTTTTTTTTAATAATTAATTATTTATTTTAGGGTTTGGCAGAGCGCACTCGGCGCTGTAGAGGCGGCTCGCGGGCTGCAGGGTGGCTCGGGCAGCAGCGAGGGGGGGGGGGGGGGGGGGGGGCGGCGCGCGGCTCCCCAGGGCGCCGCGACGGGGCAGCGGGGGGGGGGGGGGGGGGGGGCCGCGCGCGGCTCCCTAGGGCGTCGCGACGGGGCAGCGGGGGGTCGCGCGCGGCTCCCTAGGGCGTCGCGACGGGTCAGCGGGGGCCGAGCGCGGCTCCCCAGGACGTCGCGACAGGGCAGCGGGGGCCGAGCGCGGCTCCCCAGGGCGTCGCGACGGGGGCAGCGGGGGCCGAGTGCGGCTCCCCAGGGCGACGCGACGGGATAGCGGGGGTCGCGCGCGGCTCCTCAGGGCAGCGCGACGGGGCAGAGGCAGCGCCCACGGGCGACACGCGGCTCGGCAGGGCAGTGCGCTGGCTGCAGGGGCGGCTCTCGGGCCTGACGGGCCTGCAGAGGCGGCTCGGGGGGGCCTGACGGGTCTGCAGAGGCGGCTCGGGGGCCTGACGGACCTGCAGGGGCGGCTCGAGGGCCGTACTAGCTTGCAGGAGGCAGCGCGAGGGCTGCAGGACGGCACGCGGGCAGACCGAAGGGCAGGTCGCACGGGGGCGCACGAGGGCGCACGTAAGGTAGGGCGCACGAGGGCGCACGAGTATAGAAAGGCGCACGAGGGCGCACGTAAGGTAGGGCGCACGAGGGCGCTTCTAGCGGAATAGTGGGCCCGTAGGAGAAAGCGGTCCTAGGTAGCAACCTAGGCTCGTGATACCATGTTAGAATGTAGAACTGAACGAGAATGTGTGAAACTAGGCAGCAGGGTGATACAAGTAGGAAACCCTAGCAATGTTGTACCCCCTAAGGCTAAACCCACTATAGCCTACACAATATGAACATGTATAATGTTTGACAGGAAGGAGGGAGAATGGGGAGGGTTGATCGAAAGCGGGAGAATGGGGCGGGGTGATGGAAAGCGGGAGAATGGGGCGGGGTGATGGAAAGCGGGAGAATGGGGCGGGGTGATGGAAGGAGGGAGAATGGGGCGGGGTGATTGAAAGCGGGAGAATGGGGCGGGGTGATGGAAAGCGGGAGAATGGGGCGGGGTGATGGAAAGCGGGAGAATGGGGCGGGGTGATGGAAAGCGGGAGAAAGGGGCGGGGTGATGGAAAGCGGGAGAATGGGGCGGGGTGATGGAAGGAGGAAGAATGGGGCGGGGTGATGGAAGGAGGGAGAACGGGGCGGGGTGATGGAAGGAGGGAGCACGGGGCGGGGTGATGGAAAGTGGGAGCACGGGGCGGGGTGATGGAAAGCGGGAGAATGGGGCGGGGTGATGGAAAGCGGGAGAATGGGGCGGGTTGATGGAAAGCGGGAGAATGGGGCGGGGTGATGGAAAGAGGGAGAATGGGGCGGGGTGATGGAAAGCGGGAGAATGGGGCAGGGTGATGGAAAGCGGGAAAATGGGGCGGGGTGATGGAAAGCGGGAGAATGGGGCGGGGTGATGGAAGGAGGGAGAATGGGGCGGGGTGATGCAAGGAGGGAGAATGGGGCGGGGTAATGGAAGGAGGGAGAATGGGGCGGGGTGATCGAAAGTGGGAGAATGGGGCGGGGTGATGGAAATCGGGAGAATGGGGTGGGGTGATGGAAAGCGGGAGAATGGGGCGGGGTGATGGAAAGAGGGAGAATGGGGCAGGGTGATGGAAAGAGGGAGAATCGGGCGGGGTGATGGAAAGAGGGAGAATGGGGCGGGGTGATGGAAAGAGGGAGAATGGGGTGGGGTGATGGAAAGCGGGAGAATGGTGCGGGGTGATGGAAAGCGGGAGAATGGGGCAGGGTGATGGAAAGAGGGAGAATGGGGCGGGGTGATGGAAAGAGGGAGAATGGGGCAGGGTGATGGAAAGCGCGAGAATGGGGCGGGGTGATGGGAAGACGGAGAATGGGGCGGGGTGATGGAAAGAGGGAGAATGGGGCGGGGTGATGGAAAGCGGGAGAATGGGGCGGGGTGATGGAAAGAGGGAGAATGGGGCGGGGTGATGGAAAGAGGGAGAATGGGTCAGGGTGATGGAAAGAGGGAGAATGGGGCGTGGTGATGGAAAGAGGGAGAATGGGGCGGGGTGATGGAAAGCGGGAGAATGTGGCATGGTGATGGAAAGCGGGAGAATGGGGCGGGGTGATGGAAAGAGGGAGTGTGGGGCGGGGTGATGGAAAGAGGGAGAATGGGGCGTGGTGATAGAAAGAGGGAGAATGGGGCGGGGTGATGGAAAGCGGGAGAATGGGCCGGGGTGATGGAAAGCGGGAGAATGGGGCGGGGTGATGGAAAGAGGGAGAATGGGGCGGGGTGATGGAAAGAGGGAGAATGGGGCGGGGTGATGGAAAGAGGGAGAATGGGGCAGGTTGATGGAAAGAGGGAGAATGGGGCGGGGTGATGGAAAGAGGGAGAATGGGGCGGGGTGATGGAAAGAGGGAGAATGGGGCGGGGTGATGGAAAGCGGGAGAATGGGGCGGGGTGATGGAGGGCAGGAGAATGGGGCGGGTTGATGGAAGGAGGGAGAATGGGGCGGGGTGATGGAAAGCGGGAGAATGGGGCGGGGTGATGGAAAGCGGGAGAATGGGGCGGGGTGATGGAAAGCGGGAGAATGGGGCGGGTTGATGGAAAGCGGGAGAATGGGGCGGGGTGATGGAAAGAGGGAGAATGGGGCGGGGTGATGGAAAGCGGGAGAATGGGGCGGGGTGATGGAAAGCGGGAAAATGGGGCGGGGTGATGGAAAGCGGGAGAATGGGGCGGGGTGATGGAAAGCGGGAGAATGGGGCGGGAGAATGGGGCAGGTGATGGAAAGCGGGAGAATTGGGCGGGGTGATGGAAGGAGGGAGAATGGGGCGGGGTGATGGAAGGAGGGAGAATGGGGTGGGGTGATGGAAAGCGGGAGAATGGGGCGGGGTGATGGAAAGCGGGAGAATGGGGCGGGGTGATGGAAGGAGGGAGAATGGGGCGGGGTGATGGAAGGAAAGAGAATGGGGCGGGGTGATGGAAGGCAGGAGAATGGGGCGGGGTGATGGAAAGCGGGAGAATGGGGCGGGGTGATGGAAAGCGGGAGA